CGGCCCGAGGCTCCTCCCCAAGCTCCTCCTCCTTCTCCTTTGACCGCCCGGCCGGGCGGCCCACTGCTCCCGCGCCTCGCCGCTACCCTCCCGCCGAGGCTCCGCTCTGGTCTCCTGCACTCCCTCTCTGTAAGCAAGCCGCGCTGCCCGCCGCCCAACACCCCTCGCCCGCTGCCCTCCCGGTGGGTTGGCGGGGCAGGAGGGCCGGGGCGGGGCCCCCTCTCTCCCCTGGGCCGCCAGCGCCTCCCCCTCCCCTGTCCTGACCCCCTCCCCCCCTTCCTTCCTTCTCGCCTTCCCCCCTCCCTCCATGAGGTGTGCCCTTCGGCCGGAGGCCCACAAACCCCCACGCCCCAACACCCCCCTCCCGCTCGGGCTCCGGCCGGGGCCCCCGGAAAGCGGTAGGCCGCCTCTAGGCCCTTCCATCCTGTTCCTGCCGGCGTCTGGCCCAGCGCGCTGCGTCCCTGGCCGGATCCCCGTCAGGTCCCTGAGCTCTCCGAGCTGAAGGCACTGCGCCCCCAGGCGGCGGCGGCGGGTGGTGGCGGTGGCGGCAGCAGCGACAGCGGCAGCAGCAGCAGCAGCGACTGCGACTGCAGCTGAAGGCCCAAGACTTTCTCCTCCCCCCTCCCTTTTCCCTCCTTCCCCCTCCCTTTCGTTGCGCCCCCCTCCCCCTCCTTCCTGAGTCCTGGGCTGGGAAAATGCCTAATTGCCTAAGCCAGGCAGCCAGGGCCCCCCAGTTTAGAGCAGGGCAGGGGTCACCAAGTCAAGGTTGATGGGAGTGGGCGTATAGAAGCAGAGAGGGACGCCTCCCGCAGTTCTGTGACGTAAGGCTTCCGGCGCTGCCGTTTCGAATCCCAGAGTTGCAGCTGTGACCTTGGGCAAGTCACTGCTATCTGGGGGCCACAATTTTCTCATCTGTAAAATGAGGGGGTTAGACTATGTGACCGAGGCAGGGCAGGGGAGGGGAGGCCCCTTCCAGTTCTAGATCTGTGATCTTGGGGACTTCCTATGGTGCTGTCAACCTTCCCCGAATTTCAGTTGCCCTAGGGCCAAGCCAGGATTGCCCGACCTAACAATGTCTCACCCAATCTACTTATCCAGCTTAAACCACAAAGCTCTGGACACTGGACACACCAGCCAAAATGGAAGCCCCCCCCCCAAAAAAAAAACTTCTGCAGAGATATGCCTTTGGCTTGTCTGGAATGCTCCACCTGCTGAAATCCTAACGATTGGAGACTTGAGTGCAAATGGAGCCTCTTCCAGGATGTTTCCTGGCCATCCTCCTGTACCCCCAAGCCACATGCTCCCTCACCCCTTCACCTAGACTGTAATCTCTATGAAGGTAGGGATCAGGTCTCATTTATCCAGGATAGAGCAGGATCTGATTAGATGTGAACTGAATGAATGAATGAGAAAAGGTGGAAGAAAGAAGCAACCCATGTAAAATGATCTTTGTGCCAAACTCAGAGACGCTGCTGTTGATTATCCTCCCAGGAGTGAGGATACTGAGGAACATGCTTCTTCATCCTAAAAGCCCCAGGGAAGTGAGAGTTGTCATTCTTCCCACAGTCACAGATTTTCACCTCAAGCCCTCATTGCCTGCAGCACAGCGTACTTTCCCATTTACTAACTACCTTCTTCAATCATGGCCACATAGATGATGCCTAGGTGATTGAAAACTGGCTCCTGCCTTCCCAGTTCCTGCCTATGGTACTAACAGGCCTGTTGATAATGTCATTCCCCAAATGTTCTTTCTTGATCCTTCTCCATTCCACTTTTACTCTTCCATTTTATTTGTCTAAAGTGGTTACTGAACTTCAGTCAAGGATTAAGATCGTAGGATTATCAAAGCCATGATAGTTCCCCCTTACCTTGCATCATGTACGGTATTTCATGTAGTAAGTGAATAGAAAGTAAGAATAGTCTTCAAGAATCAGGCTAAGACAAGACCAAAGCAAAAAGACAAGATGCCCAGGTCATGTAGAACCATCCTAAAGATGGGCTTGACTATCTCAAGGAAATGTCCCCAAAAATACAAGATACAAAAGATCTGGTTTGAAGGGAGTTCATGTGAAAAAGACCTGGAGTAGGGGGCAGCTAGGTGGCGCAGTAGATACAGCTAGGTGGCGCAGTAGATAGAGCTCTAGCCTTGGAGTCAGGAAGACCTGAGTTCAAATGTGGCCTCAGACACTTGA